AAATAATTGTAACGTCAAAAATAATTAAAATAAATAATAATAATAGTAAATAAATAAATAAAATAAATAATAATTATAGTATTTATATAAAAAAAAAAAATTTTAAAAAAAAATTTTAAAAAAATTAAGCCAACCAGGATCTTATTTTAATCAGATTGATTACTGATATATGTCAATATATCTCAAAATTGTGTACATTGACATAAGCTGAACAAATAACTTCCAATCGCTTTCCATTTTTTTATGACTTTTGGGTAGCAATTTTCAAAATGTTGTAATACTACTTCATTACAAGTATGATAGAAATTATTTTTGTATGCCTCTTATTTGAAGGTTTTTTTGGATGACATTCTTATATGTTTAATCTTCATTGTGTTTGCAGGCTTTATTTCGTACAGTAGCGATGATGGTCCCTGACTATGCAATGATTGCTGAAATAGTTCTGTATTCTTGTGGATTTGTGAATGCTCGACCACTGTCTGTCAAGATTGTGGCAACATATCGTTTATGTTCAGAGCAGCTGTCATCACAGCACCATTATGATTATGGTATGAGAGCTGTTAAATCTGTGTTGACGGCTGCTGGTAATCTGAAGGTAACCTATACACTTATTCAGTGCTGTAGTCCAAATAATGCTCTTCTTTGATATACCATATCAATTACATATATTTTTTTACTCTTTTATCAATAGTTAAAGTTTCCTGATGAAAATGAAGACATCTTAATGTTAAGATCAATCAATGATGTCAATTTACCGAAATTCTTGTCACATGACTTGCCATTGTTTGAGGTTAGTAGGGAGAGTTTTGTATTTTTTACTGGCCTTGTTTATGAAGTAGGAATATTTGAATATTACTTTCATTTATATGAGTCTAATCTCATAATGCAGTTACCGGTAATATCACTAATACTTACCATACTCAGCTAGTACTTAAGAATGCCTCAATGTCATACATTTTTGTTTTCACACAGGGTATTACATCAGATTTGTTTCCTGGTGTCTCCTTACCTAAACCAGACTATGGCATATTAACAACTGCAATACAGGAGATATGTGACAAGATGAATTTACAAATGACAGAAGTCTTCCTTACAAAAATTCTCCAGGTAATCTTTCCTATTTCACCAAATACAAAAAATCAGAAATTATTGTCATTGGTTGCATACAGTATTATTATAAATCATAAATCTACTAATTGTTTTTTTTTCTTGTAGATATACGAGATGATGATTGTAAGGCATGGTTTTATGATTGTTGGTGAGCCATTTGGAGGTAAAACAATGGCATATCGTGTACTAGCTGCTGCACTTACTCAAGTTTGTGAAAGAGTAAGTCATCATGGTTGTGTAATAACAAAGTTTGGGTATGGGTAGTAATTTAATTGGTAAATTCAGTTTGTGGGTTGGATGTGTTAATATTAGTGACAGGTGTAAGGTAAACTAAATCTATGGAGTGAAGCAGATTATAAATAACTTTTGTAACATTTTGTTTTTCAGGGTCTATTTGATGAAAATAAAGTGCAAATTACAGTTATCAATCCCAAGTCTATCACCATGGGGCAATTATATGGTCAATTTGATCCTGTATCTCATGAGTGGTCTGATGGTGTTCTAGCCGTCAGCTACAGAGCTTTTGCTTCTTCTACTGTAAGTTCACTATTATTCTAGATAGTTAAACTGCTATAAAATATTAGTGGAACAAAGACTTGTTTCTTAATTTAAATCAACACAGTCAAGCATGGTATCTGTATTCTTATTCACTGTAATATTCATTATAAAATAGTTTACACACTGCACAATGTCTGATTCATCCTTCTTGTTCAACTTTAATGTGATTTTTTTTCAGACTCCTGACCGTAAATGGTTGATCTTTGATGGCCCTGTTGATGCTGTCTGGATTGAAAATATGAATACTGTCTTGGATGATAATAAAAAACTATGTCTAATGAGTGGTGAAATCATCCAACTTGCTAACACTACAAACTTGATCTTTGAGCCTATGGACCTGGAAGTTGCCTCTCCTGCTACTGTACGTATAGGCTGTCTGTATAATCATATACTTGACGTATAACTATTAGAATTTGGTAAGACTGATAAGTGATTTGGATTTATTTATTTATTTTATAGGTGTCTCGTTGTGGTATGATTTACATGGAACCTCATATGTTAGGCTGGCGCCCTGTCATGTTATCTTGGCTCAATGAGTTACCACCAACATTGTCTGATATGCATAAGAAGATGATTACTGACTTATTTGATAGGATGGTGCCTGCATGCCTTCAGTTTATACGAAAAGGTGGAGTGAAGGTAAGCTACTTATAGGTGTATTGACTGCCTATGCACAGCAATTAAGAGACAAATTATGTCAGTGCTGAAGAGCTATTTATTCAAGGATCTGTGGAGATAGATGGTTGTAAAATGTTGGTCTACATTCATCATGTTATTAATATGGCAGTTTTATATTACTTTTTTTTTAAATGAATTTTCTAAATGATTTATCTATTTAGTTTTATTTTTTTACTCACCTGCACCTGTTATGTACTTTACGTTTTTATATAGGGAGGCCGCTCTGAAGGAGGAGCTTCGGTAAATTTTAGTATGCTTGCATGATAGGAATGATTGTTAAATCATTAACTTTAAAGATAAAAACTGCCTGCTATGTATAAAGTTGCAAAGAATGAATGCAAGACTATTTGATAGTAAATAAATAAATAAATAAATAAATAAAAGATAATTATTCCTTACCTCTTATCAAACACATGTATGTAATTGAAGTAGCCATACAAAATTTCAAAATGTCTCTCCCTTTTCATCATGTATTCATCTCCATTCTTAGTTATGCCATGTATCAAAATTGATCAGTTCATTATTCATGTTAGTTAGTCATCCATTGTGTTCTTCTCAATACATTACCAAGCAAAAGCTGTTAGGTTCACATTAACATGGGAAGACACTGTTACTGTTTAAATTACCTTCCTATACCTTTATTCCTATAAAAATAGTATTGTCTTAAAAGTTTATATGTAAGTGATATGGGTATTTCCCGATATGGTGGAATAGTAAGCCATTTATTGATTGTTATCTACCTTATGGTGCTATGCTGAATTTTTTTAAACTTACAGTGTAGCAATCATTTGGCTTACTACACTATGTAACCCATAGCACACAGATTGAGTCTTTTCTAATCAAAGTCTATATTTCTGGTATAATAGGAGTTATCACCCACTAATGATACCAACTTAGTCAAATCATTGATGAATTTGATGGATTCCATGTTTGACGAGTTCCGTGATGAGGCAACATTTAACAAAATGGATGAGAGAGAGGTCTGCTCTTGGATTGAGGTAACTGACACTATTAGTTTCTGTTTTGAAATTTACATTACAGCATGTGTGTGCATTCTATGCATGCATGTCAATAATAGTTTTTATAGCACAAATGTTGAATAATATCGTAAAGTATCACTGTGGACTGTTTCACAAAGCAAATTGCCAATTAAAGTTGACTTTATTATATACTTATACTCTTTCCTTTTGATTTCAGTGTATATTCTTATTCTCTTTTGTGTGGTCCATTGGTGCTACTACCTCTGATGATGGCCGTGCCAAGTTTGACATTCTATTCCGTGAAATCATGGAAGGTGGCCTGTCAGAAGAAACAAGAGCTAAATTCCATATCCTGGAATTGGTGGACCCACCTCTGAAAAACCTTTCTATGCCGATCCCAAAGGGTGGCTCTGTATTTGATTACAGATTTGTTAAAGAGGTAAGCTTGTGAAAAGTTTATTTATTGAGCCAAGTAACAATGATGGTGACAAGCCACAACTGTTTTAGTTATAAACAAAATTTAATTGACCAAAGTTTATTTGGGATTAATAATTATATGCATGCAAATGAGTAGGTATTATATTTCAATATCTTACCAAAATAATAATTCTTTCTTGTATCTTTCTTTGTTAGGGTTCAGGTCAATGGGAAAAATGGAATGAAGAAATTAAAGATGCTCCTCCAATTCCCAAAGATGCGATTGTCAATCAAATCATCGTACCAACAATTGATACTGTGCGTTACACTGCACTTATGGAAATGCTTGTGACGCACCAAAAAGCGTGTCTTTTCGTTGGACCCACTGGAACTGGAAAATCTGTCTACATCAGTGTAAGTACGATATCCTACAGTTATTCAGTCAGTACAAACAAATATTGTATACAGTGATTGCAATATATTATTCCTTGTACCAATTTATAGAAATTCATAAACAATAGTATAATCATTCTCTAGCAAATACTCTATGCCTTCCAAACTGAAATATTAGCAAGCTTTTTTTATATCTAAGCCTACTTCTAGTAAAGCTAATGTGATATTTATCATCTGTCTTGTTTTTTATATCTCTTTCGCCATTGTAAGTTGTTATCTAGTTCTGGTCCGGTCGGCTTACAGCAGTGCTAGTTAACAAATAGACTTCATATATCAGGTTAATTTCAAAGTTTGATTTTTTTGTTGCTATAATTTTTCACTGTTTATTCTGGTGCAGATCGTCATCATAGACACATGGGCTAATTTATGACTTAAATTTTGTATGGATGACTCTTCATACTGCATTGAGTCTGTTAATACCTGTTACTTATGAGCAATGGAATAAATGAATATAGAAAACAATAATAAATTGTTTCTCAAATTTACAGGATTTCCTGCTGAATAAAATCGACAAGGAACTGTACAAGCCAATTGTCATCAACTTTTCTGCTCAAACAAGTGCTAATCAAACACAAGACATTATAATGTCTAAACTTGATAAGAGACGTAAAGGTGTCTATGGACCGCCTCTTGGAAAGAAAACTGTAAGTACTAAATAAATAACTATTTAATTGTTAGCCTGGAAAGACAATATACAATTCACAATAGGATCTGTGTTGTGTATTGCCATGTAATTATTATGTAGATTGTTTAACCGATAAATTGATTAATATTAACATACCATTTTTGTTAATTCTTTTAAAATAGATTGTGTTTGTTGATGACTTGAATATGCCTATGCGTGAAGTATATGGCGCTCAACCACCTGTTGAACTTCTTCGTCAATGGCTTGACCATTGGCAGTGGTATGATCGTAAAGATTGCTCTCCGCAAAAACTTGTTGATGTTCAGCTTATGGCTGCCATGGGACCTCCTGGTAAGTTAATTGTTCATGATGGTAGCATATATAAAATTGCATTTATCCATGTTTTAGTATTTAGCAGATTTTGCATCATTGTTCGTACATTCAAATTAAAATATACAGTAATTACATTTTGATCACATTTAAATAATTAGTTTTTAGATTACAAAATTGCATTGAAATTTTGTCTTGTATTCTCTCTCTCAATTTTTTCACTTTCATAAAATCTTTCAGCCCACCCCAGTTTTTTAATGGTGAATCAATGTGAGGTTAATTGCAACATGTGTATACTGTGTTTTCCAGCATAGATTCTAAATGTGAATATTTTGTTTACAAATCTGAACCAATCCCTGTGATGGTGTATGTTTCTATTGTAGAAAAGCTGTCAAAGATAACATTTTCCCCTAATCTTTTATGAATTTTTTATAAGACCAGTCGTTTTGATAGGTTATATATTAGAGACACTTGGGGAAACAAAATTTAGAATGTAAATCACCCCTGTGATGCTGATCAGGGCAAGGGCACTGCATTTCAAAAACATTTCTTATATAAGCTTACAATAACTGACTGTAATTTCATCCAGGTGGCGGTCGTAATCCTGTTACTCCTCGTTTCCTGCGTCATTTCAATTCTATTACTATTAATGAATTTGACGATAATACTATGCGAACTATATTTTCCAAAATTATGGACTGGCATATCAATTCTCGGTAAGTTAATTTTTATTTAGCGGATTTCATGTTGATATGTGAGTGTAGTCATAGTATGTGTGACTTGTCTTTAATTCTCAACACATTTTCACATACTGGTACACTACAACATATAATTTCATACTGATGTATCTATCTACAGTATGTTCATAATTTTAATATAAACTAACAATGTTGATATTTACAGTGCTCATAATAAGAATCACTATGTTTTATACTTCTATGGTTTGTAATTAGAACTTTCATGAAAACATTTCTAATTATGATTGATATTATTAAATTATGGTTCTTGCTGACAACAAATGCAGACTAATATGGTGTCGTTTAATTGGATTATTCATGTTTGTACATTTTACCTCTTATTACGTATAAATCATTGTATTCATCTTCACATTGTTTTTCAATTATAACGTTTCCATGGATGAAACAGTGGTTATAGGGTTGGTAAGAAAAAGATGGACCTCGTAATAAGGTATCAAAATAACAAGTGAAATGCATGGCTTTGGAATTGATCCCCTGAAATTGTCACCTGTCTGAGTGTGTCCATCCAATTCATTTTAACCAGAATATTTCTCCCGAGATGATATATACCTTCCAAAATAATTCCTTTTAGCATGTTGTGAAACCCATGATATTATAGGTTTGAATTTAAATTAAAAAAGAAAAACTTATAATAAAAAAAATGGTAGATGTGATCCTGTTTTTACATGAAATATTTCAATAATGAATTCTTTGAATTTTGTTTGTATTATAGGAGCTTTGGTAAAGAATTTGCGCCTCTTGTTGACCAGATTGTTCTTGGAACTATGAACGTCTACAAAAGTGCAATGATAAACCTTTTACCTACACCAGCAAAGTCACATTACTTATTTAATTTGCGTGATTTTTCACGAGTTATCCAGGGTGTGCTGTTGTCGTTGCCTGAGACATGTGAAACCCCTGCTGCAATGAAAAGATTATGGACCCATGAAGTAAGTAAACTAACAAGTTGTCTTGTCATCAACTGCTAGCTTTGATTTGTATCAATCACAATATTTTTGTTTAGTGCAGTGGAAGAACACAGCCTAACATACAGCGTATTGAAATGAGTTTTTTTATTCTGTATGTGTACTAATATTTGTCTTTGGGCATTTTTAGGTATTCCGTGTGTACTATGACCGCTTAGTAGATGATGATGATAGAGCATGGTTATTTAAACATACTTGTGCAGAAGTACTAAAAAATGATCTAAAGGAAGACTTCAATGAGTTGTACAAACATCTTGACAGTAATAATGATGGAAAAGTTGAAGAGGATGATCTCCGCAGCTTGATCTATTGTGATTTTTCAGATCCAAAAGCTGACAATAAAAACTATCTTGAAGTTCTCGATTTAGATACTTTGACACGAGTAGTAGAAAATCAACTAGATGAATTCAACAACCTGAGCAAAAAACCGATGGATTTAGTTATGTTCAGGTAAGGTTAAAATAAAATAAAACTATAAAGACCAACAAATTGAATGTTTGTTTCTTATTTTCAAAATCTAACACTGATGTTTGTCTTTGAACAGATTTGCCATTGAGCATGTATCGCGAATCTCGCGTATTGTCAAGCAACCACGCAGTCACGCCCTGTTGGTGGGTGTCGGTGGTAGTGGACGTCAGTCGCTCACTCGTTTAGCCGCACATATGGCAGACTACGAACTATTCCAGGTTGAAATTAGTAAAAGTTATACAAAAACAGAATGGAGAGAAGATCTGAAGAGTATCTTGCGCAAGTCCACTGAGGGTGAACAGCATGGTGTCTTCTTGTTCACCGATACTCAGGTTAGTTATGTGTTTATAGTAAACTGTAAAAGTATAAATTTTTGCTAGTATTCAATTTCACTATTTTGGCAATTGATCAGTGATCAATTGATTGATGCACTGGGTTTTAAAAATAATTAATTTTCCAATGAAACAATGATCTCTATATTTGAATAGATGTCACTATGAAAAACATAAATTTTACAAAAGTAAAGATCGTAATGCTCAAAAATGGTATATGGAATGGAGAGTCTTTTGTAACATAATTGAAATCATTAATGGTGGGCTTATAAGTTTTGGCAGTTGAATAGGTGTACCGGTAACATAAATTTAGAGTCGATTTTAAAAACAAGAGTTTAAACCTTGTCTGTTGATATAATGAGAAGTAGCCAATACTGGCAACTACTAATATTTTATAAACTTTCAGGAGTATCTTTTTATTCTCATCTAGTATTGTTATTTTTTTTTTTTTTTTTTTTGTGTAATCAATGAGCTTTTTCTCAAGTCTCAATAAATTATAATATTATAGAATGTTATTTATCTTGTACTAGAATTTTTCATTAAATATTTGTTTTTTTTGTTAGATCAAAGAGGAATCTTTCCTGGAAGATATTAACAACTTACTAAATGTTGGTGAAGTTCCGAATCTGTATGCTTTAGATGAAAAACAAGAAATATGTGAAAAGATGAGGTCTATTGATCGTCAAAAAGAAAAATCTCGCCAAACTGATGGTTCACCATTGGCATTGTTTAACATGTTCGTAGATCGTTGTCGTGACCAACTTCACGTTGTTCTGGCTATGAGTCCTATTGGTGATGCATTCCGTAATCGTCTGAGAAAGTTTCCATCTTTAGTCAATTGTTGTACTATAGATTGGTTCCAGGTAAGTTTAAAGTATTATAGCACGCTAACATGAGACACAGTGTGTTTATGATGATAGCAGAAGATATATTGTGAAATTGACAACCTCAGTTGAATTCTTCTTTAATTGCTATAGTGACATCCACTGATAGTTTTGTCTGCTTTCAACTGATGACATTCAAAGCTGTAATTACTGTAGTGTCATTTTATTGAGGGTATTATGCTTTTATTTTAGACATGGCCTGAAGATGCTTTACAAGCTGTGGCCACTCGTTTCCTGGATGAAGTCCAGATGTCAGATGCAGAAAGACATGGATGCATCACTATGTGTAAAGAATTTCATACATCCACACGCAATTTGTCCGAAAGATTTTTAAATCAACTGGATAGACATAATTATGTGACTCCAACCTCCTATCTGGAGTTGATCTCCACATTTAAGACATTGCTTGACAAAAAAAGAGTGTAAGTTTACCTTCCTTTCTTTCACTTTTAACTGGTTTTCAAATAGCTTATTGTCATTTATGGCATAGTTATACTTGTGTATTCATGTAGAATAATAATGACAATTATTATATGTACTATAGCATATTATGTGGTTACTTGTGGTGTCATGGGCTTTATTATAATGACATTCGGTTAATGACGTCACTTGTACTGACTAGCTCTAGAAAGAAATTATATCAGGTGATAATGTTTTATCTGTGTACTTTACAAAAACACTTGAAGTGATGACCTTTTTAGTATTAATATGATTTTTGTATGTCATCTTATGACAATCATTCAGTCAATATAAATTTATCATCTTGTCTCACACAACAGTGAAGTAATGAGAGGAAAGAAAAGATATGAAATTGGTTTAGAGAAACTACAGTCAGCTGAATCCCAAGTGTCTGTCATGCAAAAAGAGCTTGTGGCGTTACAACCACAGTTGGTTGTGGCCAGTAAGGAGGTTGACGAAATAATGGTTATTATTGAGAAGGAGTCCATTGAAGTTGCCAAAACTGAAAAAATTGTCAAAGCAGATGAAGAGGTAGCCAATCAGCAGGCGCAGGCGGCACAGGCTATAAAAGATGAATGTGATGCAGATCTTGCTGAAGCCATACCGATCCTGGAGGCTGCTTTGGCTGCTCTTGACACTCTGACACCTCAGGTAAGATAGCACAATCTCTGTGAAATATTAGAGTTGATTAGGTGTCAAAAGAATTCTTTAGTTTGAGTGCTATTCAAATAACTACTTTTTGCTGGGCAAAATGCTCAAATTAGTATTTCTTATACTTATGCATTCTTTCTTATTTTAAATGATTAATATACATTTCTTTATTTTTTATCTAGGATATCACGTTAGTGAAATCTATGAAAAGTCCTCCAAGTGGTGTTCGTATTGTAATGGAGGCTATATGTATTTTGAAAGGTATAAAACCAGACAGAGTACCAGATCCTAGTGGTTCTGGTAAAAAAATTGAGGATTTCTGGGGTCCATCAAAGCGTTTACTTGGTGACATGAAATTTTTACAGTCACTTCACGAATATGATAAGGTTTGTCAATAAATCAATTATATTTAATTGTATTGTTGCCTTGAAAGAGAATTATTAATTGTGTTTTAGTGTTTGTCACTAACTCTCACTTTTGGGGTGAAAGTCTCCCACTTTATCACAGAATAACAGTCCTACTAGATCAATTACTTATATATTTATAAGGCATGATCAAGAGAGCATACAGTTTATTTGACAATAAAAATCTGAACATTCTGGGTCGTAAAATTGTCCAAGTTATAACAGTTAAATTCATTGTACTTGTGATCTGTAGGATAATATCCCAGCACCAATTATGAAGATTTTACGTACTAAATATATTCCTAACCCAGAGTTCGAACCCGAGAAAGTTCGTAATGCGTCTACTGCAGCTGAAGGTTTGTGTCGATGGGCAAGAGCCATGGACTCGTATGATAGGTCAGTAATTTTAACTTCCATCAAATATACATCTATATTAAAAAAATCATTGAAGTTGTAGATTCTATTAACACATTGCCTGCTAATGGAGTTTTTCTTTATTTATTTACCTATCCTTGGGGGGGATGGCTTTCAGCAGGGGATATATGAAATGTTTCTTACGTGAGTTTGTTCACAACTGCTATCATCTTCACACAAGTGTCTATGCTTTGATGTATTTAATGTTTGATACTTTCTCCCAAGAAGTCATTCTGTTATTCAGCATGGATTTTTTTAGAAAATTAAGCATGTAAAACAGTTGACTGCATAATGTTTGTACATCATTAATGCTTCATTTCTGTGATCGATATTACATGAATTTGTAACAGTGTTGAAATTCTTCTATTTACTGGATTGATAGATTTATTTATGTGGGCGGGTTTATTTATGTTCAGTTTAGTTAAAAAATATTTCTTTTACTCTTCTAGAGTGGCAAAGGTAGTGGCACCCAAAAAGTTAAAACTAAAAGGTGCTGAAGCAGAACTAGCTACTGCCATGGCCTCACTGGAGAAGAAAAGATCTGCTCTCCGTGAAGTTCAAGAAAAACTGAAAAAGCTTCAGGATAAGCTTGAAGCTAACAAACAAAAAAAGGCTGACTTAGAGTTCCAAGTAGATCTATGCTCAAAGAAATTGGAACGTGCTGAGCAGCTCATTGGTGGTTTAGGTGGTGAAAAAACAAGGTAGGTTAATATGTTTGCTATCACCAATTAACCCACAATGTAGATATGATCATACATATAATATATAGTAAATATGTATGCATAGTAAAACACTTTCTATAATTTGTCTGTAGATGGCAACAAGCTGCAATGGACTTAGGAGCTTTATATGTCAACTTGACTGGTGATGTTCTCATCTCATCAGGTCTTGTTGCATATCTGGGAGCATTTACAGCAAACTTCAGACTAGTGAGTACATTATTACTTTAGCAATGATTCCATAACAGTTGACTTGTATTTTGCATGTTGTTACTCATGGATTCTCGTTTCTTTTCCAGGAGCAACTTAACGAATGGGCCATAAATGTAAGTAACAATGGTATCCCATGTTCTGGCCAATTTTCTCTGATTTCTTCCTTGGGAGAGCCAGTGTTGATCCGCCAATGGAATATTTGTGGACTACCAACAGATAGTTTCTCTATTGAAAATGGTATCATTATTAGGTGAGTATTGTGTACTAATTTGTTGCTGTAAACAATAAACAATCTGACCATAATTTTGATGGTGGATTACTGTATTGTTTGTGTAAGGTTATCCACATAGATTAATATAATTGATAAATTATAGCAAGATCATCCCATATCAATCACAAAATGTATGTTCAATTATTTTGGCAGACAGTGACATCTTGGGATGCTGTGGTTATTAGCATCCTCTTGGTAAAATTCAAGTTTCATGTACTCTACAAATAAACCTGCAAAGTTCTCTAAGAATAACTTTCTTGCTTCACATAACAAGATATAAACTTAATCCATTTCTCTTGACAGCAATGCCCGCCGTTGGCCGCTGATGATTGATCCACAGGGCCAAGCCAACAAATGGGTTAAAAATATGGAGAAAGCAAATAATCTACACACTGTTAAATTAAGTGACAGTGACTTTGTTAGAACACTTGAAAACTGTATACAGTTTGGAACACCTGTAAGTTTATTAATATCACACTTTCTGATAATTACATTTATGATATGACATGCATCCTGACATTCCTGACATATTTTGACAAATCTGAATTGTGAAGGCCATATTTAAAATTAAATCACTAGTTGTGGTCTCCTGTACTGTCTATTGTTTTTTGCCAGCTTTATTAATGGAGTACAGAATAATAACCTCTCTGTGCTTGGTTGATATATTTCAGGTGTTGATGGAAAACATTGGGGAAGAACTGGATCCTCTCTTGGAACCTTTACTCTTGAAACAAACATTCAAACAAGGTGGTAGTGTGTGTATAAGATTAGGAGACAGCACGATTGAATATTCACAAGACTTTAGATTCTATATGACAACTAAACTCAGGAATCCACATTATTTGCCTGAAACAGCTGTCAAGGTAAGGACTGACTGTTTAGCTTTCACTGAGTCAATGATCCACCAAATAAAATATTGTTTGTATCTAGACAACTAAGTTCTGTTGTTATTCAAGACCTATCAGAAAGTGTTTTATCACAGACTGTATAGAAGATGATTTGACATATTTATGTTTGTTCCTCACATCAGTTTCAATCTTGTCCTACCTCTCTAACGTTCCTTCAAAATGATAGATTGTAGCTAAGAGTTTTATTTTTCCCACCAAGACTGGTTGATTATAACA